GGAGGTTGTGGCCCCGCCCCGTCACACACAGAGCCGCAGGGCGATCAGGGGGTTTGGGCACTGACCCCTGTCACGCTGCTCCAGGGGCCAGGAGGCCTCGCGGCTCCGTTGATCCCAGTGCTGGGAGGCCTCGCGGCTCCGCTTGACACCGGGGCAGTGAGGCCTCGCTGCTCCGCTGATCCTGATGCTGGGAGGCCTCGCAGCTCCGCTTGACACAGGGGCAGTGAGGCCTCGCTGCTCCGCTGATCCCGGTGCTGTGGGGCTCTGCTGATCCTGGTGCCAGGGGGCCTCGCGGCTCCACTGATCCCAGTGCCAGGAGACCTCGCGGCTCCACTGACCCGGGTTCGGGAGGCCTCGCGGCTCCGCTGATCCTGGTGCTGGGAGGCATATTACCCTTTTACTATAAAGGATAGAGGCCTGGTGCATGGGTGGGGGCCGGATGGTTTGCCCTGAAGGGTGTCCTGGATCAGGGTGGGGGTCCCGCTTGGGTGCCTGGCCAGACTGGATGAGGGGATGATGGCTGTTTGCAGGTGGTCACACCCTCTTCAGGGTGGGGGTCCCCACTGGGGTGCCTGGCCAGTCTGGGTGAGGGGCTGAGGGCTATTTTCAGGCTGGCGGGTGACTGAAGCTCCCAACCCCTCCCTTTTTTTTTTTATTCTGGGATTTATTTACCTTCTATGGCTGTCACTGGAACTGAGAGCCAGCTTTAGCTCTGAGGCTTGGCTCCAGCTGTGAGGCCTCGGCTGCTGAAAGCAGGTGTCTGGGTTTGTTTGGGTTCTATAATCGAAACTCTGTTGCAACTCCAGCTCGGCCGGCTGGCTGAAAGCATGGGGTTTGTTTAGCGTCTATAATTGCAACATTGTTTCTTAGAGTGCAAGCTCAGAGCCCAGCAGTGGCAGGTGGGGAACCTTGGCTTCCTCCTTCACTGGAGCAAGCAAGCCTCCTATTCGCTTCAGCTGCCTGGCTGCCGGCTGTCATCTTGGTTGGCAGTTAATTTGCATATCGTCCTGATTAGCCAATGGGAAGCATGTCGGAGGTATGGTTAATTACCATGTTTGTCTATTATTAGATAGGATATGCATAGCCCATGGACATGGGCAATAGGGTAGTGAAGAACTGGGGGTGGGTAGAGGCTGGGAGGTGGTTAGGAAGGGGGAGAAAAAGGGAGATATCTGTAATACTATCAACAATAAAAAATATTTTTTAAAAAAAGTATGCCTCACCCTAACTGGTTTGGCTCAGTGGATAGAGCATCGGCCTGCGAACTGAGGGTCCCAGGTTCAATTCTGGTCAAGGGCATGTACCTTGGTTGCGGGCGCATCCCCAGTGGGGGGAGTGCGGGAGGCAGCTGATCGATGTCTCTCTCTCATCAATGTTTCTAACTCTCTATCCCTCTCCCTTTCTCTCTGTGAAAAATCAATAAAATATATTTTTTTAAAAAAAGTATGCCTCCCCCCCAAAATATTTGACCTCCCATTAATAATACACAAGACATGTCTCTTAACCAACCTTTTGCCACATTAGACTCAATGAGAGGATTACAGTATACTGTGATGGAATCTTAGTTAAACCCCTATTGATTAAAAATGTATTTAATCGGATTTGAAATAAGACATATTTTTTAAAAGACAATGTTTCTAGACCTCAAGGTCTCAAGACTATGTATATGCCCATAACAACTCCAGAACAAACTTTATGAAAAATAAGCAAAAGTCAGACACAGCATGTAGACTTCAGTTCTATTTCAGTGGTTCTCAAGTATGGATCAACCTAGAAAGTTTTTACAGATATTGATCAATTAAATTAGTTTCTGGGTGTAGGGGTTTGGGCTCAACTTTAAATTTAGAAAAGCTTCCTGTAACTAATGCAGACAACCACTGAACTGAGTAAGAGATCACTGAAATTAGGTTACGTCTCATGAAAAAATAGTTTTTATATAGGTCTTTAGTTGGCTAAAAATTTCATGAAAAAGATAAATATAATAGAAGTGAAAACTGATGTATAAATACATGATCCAAGTAGTGAAGAAAAATAAAAAACATTTTTTAACCACAAAGTAAGGGAGAATAAGAACAGTAAATATATTAATTTATTTTAGACATTTTAGTTTTGAGGCAAAATGCAAAATGTTTTGGAGGTAGTTGCAGATACAGGTTTGAAAACACATGGGGGGGGGGAATAAACAGAGAACCAATTTAAAGTAAATTATGAAACCAAATGTATATATAACATATATATATATTCTGCAGTTTCATTTTATATTATACTAGAGGCCCAGTGCACAAAATTCGTGCACTGAGGGAGGGTGTCCCTCAGCCCATTCTGCACCCTCTCCAATCTGGGACCCCTTGGGGGATGTCCGACTGCCGGTTTAGGCCCATAGGGATCGGGCCTAAACCGGCAGTCGGACATCCCTCTCACAATCCAGGACTGCTGGTTCCCAACTGCTAACCTGCCTGCCTGCCTGCCTGATTGTCCCCAACTGCTTCTGCCAGCCAGCCTGATCACCACCCCCTAACCACTCCCCTGCCAGCCTGATAGATGCCTAACTGCTCCCCTGCTGGCCCGATTGCCCGCAACTGCCCTCCCCTGCAGGCCTGCTCGCCCCCGCAGGGCTGGTCCCTCCCAACTGTCCTCCCCTGCTGGCCTGGTTGCCCCAACTGCCTGTCCTCCCCTGCAGGCCTGATCACCCACAACTGCCATCCCCTGCTGGCCTGGTTGCCCCTAACTGCCCTCCCCTGCTGGCCTTATCACCTACAACTGCCATGCCCTGCCGGCCATCTTTGACACATGGGGGCAGCATCTTGTGCAAGGGTGTGATGGTCAATTTGCATATTACCTCTTTGTATATAGGATTCTGAAGCATTCTATATCAGTTTTATTGTAACTTACTAGAATACATGCTATAGAATTAGCTAAAGTCACTCAAAAACTGGGCGATGGAGGCCAGTTTTTTGAAACAAGTATTTTCAGGAATCCCAAATTTTTCAATATAGCATTATCCCTAAAGTAATGGGGAGCTGGGAGGGTTGTAGCTTATCAGCAAGGACAGGCAGCTCTAAACTTTTCTCACTAAATACTGATTTTCAATTTCATATATTCTATATTCTATAGGAGCATTACAGCTCCTATAATCCTGGTCAAGGGAAAGGCCCTGTTTATAGACAGATGCCAACACATGTGTGCAACTAGCTAAGCAAGCATTCTGTATGCATTCAAAGAGGCCCTTTGCATGACACAGTAATGAGAGATGTTAATTCTTTCATTAGATTTGAAGAACGCTGTAAAGTCAGGAATGATATTTTAGCAAACCTGTCCCTTCCATCTTCACTGAAGAGGTCCTAAAGGGAAAAGAAAATTTATCGTATTTTCACAAATATCTTTAATTGTTCCAAAAGATTAAATTATAAAGAATTTTACTCAGAATTCTCAGAAGAGTCTAATCTAAAAACTCTTAATATGCTTCATTTGGTAGATGGGGGCTATTTGCAGAGAAATCCAATATGCAGAAAAACAGTACAAATACCATAGGTGCTGTATGGAAACACAGGGGGAAAACGAAAATTAGTTAATCCTATCCTTGCTTTGAAGAGGCTTATAATCTAGTTAGTGATGTGGACTACAAATACATAAATGCCCTGAATAATGTATTTGAGAAGTAATATTAATCATTATCAAATATATATGCACACATGTACATACACCATAAAGCACTACATACTCTAGATTACTAACCTACCCAAAGCAACTGACAATACAGAAAAATAGCTTCTATCAGGTTGTACAACACATGGGTTCTTTAAATTTTGTAAGTATTCTATTATTTATTATCTTACATTAAGAGCTGCCTTTCCATGAATTTTGGCCTACGTCTTGACAAAAACTAATGTGCATGTTTTAAAAATCCAAGAAAGAAATAGTAAGTTGTGAACCACACCCTCAAAATTATAGAAATATTTATTACTTGGCTTTTTATAGATTCCTCCATTCGTTCAAGTCAGGCTGCTTGGGTTCAAATCACAGCTCTAACATGTACTAACAGGTGACTTTGGGATCAGTTAACTTATTTGTACCCCAGCAAAACAGAGATTTTAATAGCACCTCTCTCATAAACCATTATGAGAATGAATTAAATACATGCAAAGCACTGAAAACAATGTCCGATATATACTGCTAGCTATTATTAGCTATTGTTGTTTTAGAGTGTGTTATGCAGTAAAGGCACAGAAAAAGACGAAGCCCTCACTGTCATGAACCTTACAATCCAGTAGGAATTTTAAATAAACAATACATGATATTATGGTATTATTACCATAATATTGTACATGAAAACAAATAGGAATCTCTAAATTTGAGAGTTTTGGACAGGCTCTCTGGGGGGAGGGGGGGTGGGAGGAGAGGTATTAGGCAAGAAGTGAAATGTTTCTGACAAACAATATGTGCAAAGGCTCAGGGGCTCTACAGCAGGGGTAGGGAACGTCCAGCCCATGAGTCTTAGTATAAAGCCCACAAAAATCATGTGGTCTGGCCCTGCCAAGTCATTAGGGGTGAATTAATTAAATGTTTGGCCAAATATAGCAAACTGATTTGTAAGTTAATAATTTTGTATTGCCTGCAAATGGTGTTATAAATATCCAAGTGTCCCTTGGCAGAAAAAAGGTTCCCCACCCCTGCTTATGAATAGATGGGAATGACAAGGAGAATAAAAGACTCGATTTAGGACAAATCAATGGTCATGAGCAATATCCTAGTATTCATCAATTCTCTAATAGCCTTTCAATCAGGGCACACCATTAAGTTTGGCAGCCAAATCAGAGAATTTTCTAATAATTGAGGGTGAGACGATACTCCGGTAACTTCTGAAAGGGAAAACAGAAATCCCTATAAAACATGATACTTTTTATAATCTTTTACTAGTGCCGTTGGCTTCTTTTCAGAAACAGATTAAATTACCTCCTCCTTTTGGTATGCTGTTAAAAGGAAGAAGCTGTGTGACTTACCAAAGGGTACATGGGTGGGATTTGAATCAAGATCCTCTGGGACCAAGTCCAGAGTCCTTTACACGTTATGGAGCTGATTCCAGTTTCAGACACTGGTCAAATTGTTATTCTCCACAATGTTCCAAAATTACATTTGTGTTAGCAACTTTGTCCTTTAAATGTAAATATTTCCTGCTTCCATTCATACCTTAGTCTGAAATAGAATCCTGGAAATTCAATCAGAAGGGAAAAAAAGTCATTAAGGCCAAAGACCAACTTAATGATCAAATATCCTAACATCATTCTGGAGTATTTAGTTTAATTTAAAGTGGCCACTTTCCTCCTGTCTAACCTGAATCTGTTGTGACAGCTCACTGAGAATCATTTGGTCTGGCCCTGGTTTAAATGATATAGAGTATAACATGAAGTTATCAGATTCTTCTATAAGAGTTGTTAGGAGGTAGGTGATGGGTATAAAGGTGGGCAGTAGCCTGTAAAATTTTGCCTCTCTTAAAGTTCCTGTACAAAAAGTCATGTTGAATGATTTTTCTCCAATAGCTGTAAATAAGAATGTTAATACTGTATATAGATTTAGCAAATCCAGTACTGAAAAGTTGTGCCAAGAATCACTCAATCATTTGGTAACCAATAAATTAGAAGATAAAATGGAAAATCTTACCAATATATTTACCAGCCCAACTTTTATTATCTTTGCTAATCTTTTCATTCTGTTATTTGGCAAGTCTAAAATGCTCCCTGCTAGACTTCTATAAGCTCAAAAATACTGACTTTTGCTTCATTCTGAGGATGAAATATGGGATACCAATTTCTGTGATAACAGTGTGACTATAATATAATTCAGCTGAATATTAGCCAACTTATAAAAAGCACAATAAACTAATTTTAGGTCAGCTATGATGCATCCACAATAAAGAGAATTTGCATTGCAAAGGGGAATAAACTTAGTCAAGAAAAGTCTGATTTCATCGGTTATCATGAAAGTATCTAGAATAATCAGCGAAATACAAATGGCTTTGAGACTGGACTCAGAACGAATACACAAGTAGCCTAGTCAAAAGTCATTGGTTATAGTCTTCCCAAAACTACTGTAAGATTTGAACATAGCTGTTTAACCCAAAAAATTTACAGATGCAAAGTACCATGTATTATCCTTTCCTGTTCTTATGATACACCAGAAACCAAATTACATGTTTAATAATACCAATTTCCATTTGCATAACACTTTTACAGCTTCTGAAATACTCAGATTTCTCATTCTAGGATAGCAAAATAGGTCATGCTTATTATGTAGCTATCTGAGCACAGAGTCTAAGTCACTTGCACAATGTCACAGAACCAACTAAAATGTAGAGGCAGATTTTTTTCAATATTCGTTGATTCAACAAATAGTTAGCATACTAAGACTTTGTTTTAGGGCCTAGTCAATGGTAGATACATAAAAGTGGGAGAGAGACAACAAACAAGTAAACATACAGAACATAAGATTTTAGATAAACGCTTTAATTTTAGATAAATTTAGGTAAGTTATAAAGAGAACATGGTAATGGATAGAGTGGTTGTAGAATGGCACACCAGAGGTCAGAAATGTTCTAAGGAGGTTACATCTGAATTAAGGCCCGAATGAGGATGACAAACCACCCATGTGAAGGTCTACAAAGGCATCCCAGGCCGAGGAAAATGTAAGTATAAAGCCCCAGGGGCAAGAAAGATCCAGACACCTGACATGGAGTAAGAGGGAGGAGAGGGAAGAGGGTGCAGGGACAGTGGACTGGTTATATAGAGCCTTTAGACCACTCAGTCCAGGAGGTAGGAGTCAAAGTGAAATTGGGAGACATAGGTGGGATGATCTCATTTTCGTTTTAAAGAGATCTTTCAAGCTGCCAAAAGAAGAAACAACTGTAATACAATCCTCTAGCAACACCCCCTTGAGACTCAAAAGTACCAGTAACAGTCTATTCCTTAGAGAACATTCCTGGAGAGTGGATGCATGGGTACTTGTTACCTTTGAGATTTTACATGAGTATTATACACTTTTCTGTACAAAATTCCATTTTTAAAAGTAAATCGTACGGGTGTAAGGGTGGAAGCTGAAAAACCACCGGAACGCTTCTGTAACAGTCCAGGTGTGAGCTGATGGTACTTTGGGAGTAAAAGAAGTGAAAAGTAATGGGACTTGTAATATACATAGCTCAGAAGTATGGTAAGTCTTCCCGATGGATGCAGGCAGGGGAAGGAATCAAGGCTAACCAGTGGTTCTCAATGTGGGATGGTTTTGCCTCCCAGGAGACATTTGTATTGTCTGAAGGCATTTCTAGTTGTCACAATTGGTGGTGGGGGGCGGGGGGGGGGGGAGTGGGAGGGGGTGATGGGCTACTGGCCTTTATGGGTAGAGGCCAAGAATGCTAAACATACTATCATGCACAGTAGTACTGCAAAACAAAGACTTACTTGGCTAAAAAGTATTATAGTGCTGAGGTCGAGAAATCCTGATCTAGACTGATTCCAACTGATTCCCATCCCAGAATATCCATATTTCCAGGAGAATCTACAACAAAACACCCGAAAACCTAGAAATGGCATTCCTTATTTTCATTATTTAGAGACAAGTAAAACTGTTGTATACATGAAATAAACTTTATTTGTTTAGAGATCAATTAAATCACTGTGGTTAACTCTACGTTGATCAGATCTAATTGGTACATAAGTCTAACAAAATATAAAAAATCAATTACTGATTAATAAATGCCACTTGTTGAACACTTTCTCAAAATGCAAGTAGAAAACTTCTATTTGGCAACACCGCCCAGCACTGCTTTTAATTTTTCTTTCTACCAGCTGGTTTAATCTACAGTCCAATACCTCCACTACTTCTCCAAATAAAAATTCCTCCCCAAATCTAAAGAGATGGCTACAAACGCTGGAAAGATAATCAGAACTATAACTGGATGCGATGGGAAGAAAATGATAACCCACTTGTATGTATGTGCATGTATAAATCTGTTTAGTTTTCTGTCTTCTTTTGGGCCTTGAGCAAACGGACACATTCGTTTTAGATATCATAGGACTGCAGCACGCATTTCTCTCAATCACTCGAAGACCAGCGATAGGAAAGATCCTCTACAGACCTCATTAACAAAACACAAAATGCCCAAGTTGGTAAAGTTCATTTTACCTCCTTCTTCGTTATCTAAAAGGAGAGAATCTGGAAGAGGCCCCTGTGACAGTCTCCCACAGCACCCTCCGAGTCTGGGACTGCCATTCATGCAGTGAATTCTGTGCCGTTATACTGGGGAAGGTCTGAGGATCTGAAATTATTTGGTAACCGGAGTAGATGGCAGAAAAGACAAAAGTAATTATCAAGTCCGAAAAGAGCAGTTCAAACATTACCGTCCATCTGCGTTCTCACAAGGTGGGGCCGGGGGAACCTATTTCTAAGAAGCTACAAAGTCACTTTTGATTAAGAAAAGGATGCTGTTCTTACAAGGATCTCAATGAAATTGGTCATGGACACACAGACGACTAGGTTACCAAATCTGGTTAAAACTGAGTTTTAGGAACAATTCACGTCTTTTAAAGGATAAAAAAAGGGGGGGGGGGGGAGGGGAGGGAAGACAGCAGTCATATCATCACGGCCTCATCCGCATTATTTACCCAAAAGCATCTCACGTGGTAACAGGCCTCCGGTCTGAATTCACCCCCTTTTGTGATAAAACTTAAATAATCTAACCATCTAAGAAGTAAAATACAGGGGCACTTTACTACCCTGAAAATCACGCCGAGCTCCCGCTAGACCGGGTGGACGTTTTCGGGAGCATCACCTCGCGGCGACCAGCGAGCGCTCTTCCCGGGCGGTCTCCCGGCCGCAGTGACCTCGGGACGCTCATGACGTCACCCTCTTGCCTACGGATACGCAGAATGACCCCCAACGTAAAATTCACCGACACTAACTCCCTCGGGCAGCGGCCGTTAAGCAGCTTTTCTTCGGGCTTTCAGACGCTCGATCCCACTGCGGTCGCCGCGCCGCCCTCTACTCCCTAAAGGGGCAGCCACACAGCCTCAGCACCGGAACGCGCGAGCGGGGCGCCCTCACTAACCACATTCTCGCGAACCCTTAAACGCAATTCTCGCGACATCCGCCTGCGTGCCGGTCCTTTTTTTTTTTTTTTTTTAGACCCCACCTCTACACAGCTACTTGCTTAGAAACATCGCGAGATTTGCTGCTTTCAATCTCCGCCCCTTTACGGCACGATGGTCGCACAAGAATGTGATAGAGGCTCCGCGGCCGCCATTTTCTTTCTTTCTTAGCAGTTGGCTGAGAGAAGGTCTGTGTGGACAGCGGTAGCGGCCACAGTAGGTAGAGATGGCAGACTATTCAACAGTCCCTCCACCCTCCTCTGGCTCAGCCGGCGGCGGAGGCGGCGGCGGCGGCGGCGGAGGCGTTAACGATGCTTTCAAAGATGCGCTGCAGAGAGCCCGGCAGGTAAGCCGGGGCCGCGCGGCGGGATCCCGACGGCTCACGGTAATTGGTCGCTGGCGGAGTAGGCCGCTACTTCTGTAGGCGCAGAGGAAGAGGGAAGACATGCTCTTCCGGGCTCTGAAATGTGCGGAGACTCACGTTTCCCCACGTTGGCGGTGCCGGTCAGAGGGTAGAATTTAGGTTTCGTGTTCTTGCTGTCTCAGCCCGTGGGAACCCCCACGCGTGCCGCGCTCGGATGGCCTGGGCTCTGTGTCCTCCCCTGCGGCACACGCGCCCCTCTCTCTCAGGAGTGAGCATGTCCTCCTCCTCCTCCTCAGATGGAGCACGGTCCGTCCCCCCCCCGCCCCCGTGGTAGAAAGCGCGCCTAGTTTCACACAATAGCGTGGAAGGTTCTGGCCGTGAGTTTCGTTTGGGAGGGAAACCGGGGTCTGCCCCCCGGAGCCATGGGAAGGAGAGGACATGCCGGGAGAGCGGTCTTGACGGCCCTCGCTTCGCAGTAAGCCTGTCGGAGTCGTTCGCTTTCTCGGTGACGAGGAAGAGACTTGGGAAAGTACCGGATCCCGGGTGGGAGTGCTTCCTCGTGGCGCGATTTCCGTGTCCGCGTGAGGCCAGTCCTTCCCCCCCTTATTTCTCAAAATGGCTTCGGGCCCATTTTACCCCCAAATTTCCATTTGAATCTGCCTCTCTGTTCAGAGTCGTAAACTGACCACCTCTTTGTATTACGTAGGTGCATACATTTGTGCCTTCGCCCCGAAGGCACTTCCTTCACGTACGAAAGCTTTTAAAAAAAAAAAAAAAAAAAAGCACATGTACCTCCGGAAGTAAAGATCTCTTCATTTGAACTTCCATCTTTATTGGGAAGTACGTTAATATAATTATAACTTTAAAATGTGCTCTATTGGTCTGGACTGGTATGTAAGCAAAATTGAGTGTTCCTCTCATGACACTAGGTATAACAGGTGCCAGACACTTTTAGACGTTAGTGGTAAAGGAATGGTCGGTCATCAGAAACTAATTTTGTGCTATGCTTTTGATTGTATTAGGAGTTCACTTAATTTTTTTTTTTACCCTCCAGTTAAAGGACTTTTTCAGTCAAAATCCATAAAATCGGTAGCGATGTAACAAAATCGCTCTTACTTTTGTAGTGTGAGCACATTATAAATAAAAATGTACCTGTACTTGTTTATAGTCAGAATACTCAGGAGAGTCGAGGAAACGTCATCATTAATACTAACTCTACAGTTTTTTCACTTAATTTTCGTTTATCCTGAACATGTTTTGAATAGCGACTGAGACATTTACATAGTGACAGGACCTCTGTTAGTGGTGTTTTATTAGATTGGGTTGAAAGACTCCCCTGAATTATTTTTATTCCACCAGCAGATTGAATTATTTTGTGCCACACACTGTACTTAGATACTAGAGAATTTTTAAATGTGTGAATTGGGGTTTCTGGCTTCTAGGAACCAAATGCAAATGAGTGGTTTTCAGAAAGAAGTGGGCATAAGGACAGTTAATCTATTTGTTCTATAAGCATATATAGAGTTCCTACTATGAGTTAAGCACTGTACACATCACCAGCGAGTGGGGTGCCTAACTGCCAAAGTAAAGGACTGACACTTTAAGCAAGGCATTCAAGAATGAGTGGGAGTTTTAGAACCCAAGTATGACGTCACTGGAGGTATAGTGTTGGGTGAGGCAAGAAGTGAAAAAAGTTACAGATGGATACAACTTCTGAAAGACTACTTTATTTTTTTTTTTTTTTTTTTTTTTTTTTTTCAGTGTAGATTTTGTCTTTATTCAATGATCTTAAAGAAGTTACTGTTAAACATTGAAGGAAGAACCTACCGTTGTCCCACCCACATCTGGGTGTTGCTGTTGACATTCCTTTGTTGAGGCTATATCTTTATAAGCTTTTTAGCAAGTATATGTCGAACACTTCTGTTTCATGGTCAAGACAGGATCAGAGGCCATGGATACTGACAACAGATTGGTCTGTTTTATTCTGTCTTTTTCCATGATCATATCTACTGCCTCATCTTGATTTATAAGCAAAACCTAGACAACCTACAAAAATCTGCTTTGTGGTTTATCTAGGAATAATACAGAAAATATTGCTATCATCAGTAAGCTTTACAAGAAAGTCAATTTTGTACAGTTTATTTTGATGTAAATAAAATGTGAATTTCTTAAAAAAAAAAAAAAAAGAAAATTGCCAGAAAAAATCACCTTGGCTTTATATAAAACATTTGTCATATCAGAACTATAGACCCTTTCCCAGATAATACTGATGATGTGGGCTCTTGGTTGGCAACCTCAGTTCTTGAGTTGGGCTAAGGAAGAATTCAGAGCCAAGAACTCTAGTTCAAGATAAAGTTCATTAGGGAGTGAGATGCAAGTACACTAAAGAAAGAAGAGACCGCGCTGCTGAAATGGCTGCCTTGGCCTTGTGAGAGGAAAGTCACAGAGGCAGCGAAGGGAGCCCAGATGGCTGTGTGCACTCAGAGAACAAGTATGCATGCACACCAAGGGTCCTTAGAGCTTAGGAGAAAGGAAGCAAAGCATAGGCACCTAAGGAAAGAAGGGGAAAGGCCTGGGCATGAGAGAGCGAGCATGCAATGTGTCCTTTGCCTTAAAGGGTTTTATCTGTTTTCTTTTTTTTTTTTTTTTTTTTTTTTTTTTAACATACTAAAATGGATTTATTATTTTTAAATGAATTAAAAATAAATATTTTAAATGTTCTTTTCTTTTTTTTTTTTTTTTTTTTTTTTTTTTTTTTATTGCTTAAAGTATTACAAAGGGTATTACATATGTGTCCATTTTATCCCCCCGCCCTAGACAGTCCCCTAGCCTCCCCTTGAAAGACTACTTTAATAAAAAAGTAGGTTTCATGATTTGGCTAGGCTATAATTTCCTGTCAACTTAGACTGCTTTCTTACTGTGGAAATTGTCCTCAAACTGGACTTTTTTGTACTCTTTACATGCCACTAGGTCAGCTGCCCCAATGCCCTTGATGTAATGATCCTTTATAGATAGATGTCTTTGATGTAGTAATTTGATTGTTTCTTTACAGACTTGATCTTAAATCTGAGATTTCCATATTTAGCTTCTGATTACATTTTAGGATGCTGTTTGTCTTATATAAGTGGAGTGTTGGGAAGAGTACTTGGACTGAAGGAACAAGTTAGGTTAATATTTAATCACTTTTTCCTAAAGGACATTGAATTATATTTCCAAAATTCCCATCTAACCTTAAGTTTCATTGCTTTGTCCAAAGTATTATGCTGTGTTCTTTGGAAGGGAGAGTTACAAGAATAGCTTCTTGTTCTCAAAGAGCTGTGTACCTACGGGCATTTTTGGCTGGACAGTTATTTGTTGGAAAGCAGGATAAGTGATTAGGATTCTTGGGCCCTCCCTACCTAGTAAGTGCTAGTAGCATTTACACCAGCTGACTGTCACCATCTGGTAATTTAGGCCAAGTTGCCAAACTTTTTCTTTTTTTCCCCCCCCAGAGAATCCTAGTTGTTTATTTTTAATGTGAAATTTACAGGTTTTTATAATAATACTCTGTGAGCACAGGGCACCAGATTAGATTGCTTCTCTGGTTTAGGGTTTCCAACCTGTACACTTTAGAAATTTATGTTTTTGTATTTCAGTCTGTGACTCCAGAAGGTGAGGTTAGGATTCTGGTAATCACATCTACACTAATAAAAGACAAACATGCAAACTGACCGTACCTTCGCTACGCCTTAAGCCATGCCCACCAGCCAATCAGAGCGACTATATGCAAGTTAACCCAACCAAGATGGCGGCCAGCAGCCACGGAGCTGGAGCAAGCAGGAGGTTTGGTTGCCCCAATGATGGAGGAAGCCAAGCTTCCCGCCTGCCGCAGTGGCTCTGAGCTCCACTCAAAGCAACAAAGTTTCAATTATAGAAGATAAATAAACCCCAGATACCTGCTTTCAGCCAGCCGTGGCCACGGAGCTGGAGTGAGCAGGAGGCTTGGGTTGCCCCTGACGATGGAGGAAGCCAAGCTTCCCTCCCACCCGCCCTGGCCGGCTCTGAGCTCCTCTCAAGGCTACAAAGTTTCAATTATAGGAGGTAATTAAATCCCAGAATAAAAAGAGAAAAAGGAGAGGCTGAGAGCTTCCGTTGCTGGAGGAACATGGCCAGCCTGAAAACAGCCCTCAGCCCCTCACCCAGGCTGGCCAGGCACCCCACTGGGGACCACCAGCCTGCAAACACCCATCAGCCCCTCACCCAGTCTGGGCAGGCACCCCAGCGGGACCCCCACCCTGATCCGGGACACCCTTCAGAGCAAACCAGCTGGCCCCCACCCATGCACCAGGCCTCTATTCCATATAATAAAAGGGTAACATGCAAATTGACCCTAACAGCAGAACGACTGGGAATGACTGGTCACTGTGACAGACACTGACCACCAGGGGGCAGGTGCTCAATGCAGGAGCTGTCCCCTGGTGGTCATTGCGCTCCCACAGGGGGAGCTCTGCTCAGCCACAAGCCAGGCTGATGGCTGCCAGTACAGCGGTGGTGGCGGGAGCCTCTCCCACCTCCTCAGCAGCACTGAGGATGTCCGACTGCAGCTTAGGTCTGCTCCCTGCTGATAGGTGGACATCCCCCGAGGGCTGCCAGGCTGCCAGAGGGATGTCTGACTGCCAGCTTGGGCCCAATCCCCCTGGGAGCGGGCCTAAGCCAGCAGGTGGCCATCCCCCGAGGGGTCCTAGACTGCGAGAGGGCACAGGCGGGGCTGAGGGACTCCCAAACCCCCACCCCCACCCCCAGTGCACAAATTTTTGTGCACCGGGCCTCTAGTTAAATAATGAGTTCTGTCTCTAAGCATTGGAAAATTAAAATGTACCTATCCACTTTTTTTCTCAATGTTCTATGAAGATAGAAGTGAATCAGACAGAGACTGAGACTAGATAAATGAATAAAGTGGTAGATCACTTTTTCCTAAAGGACACTGAATTATATTTCCAAAATTCCCATCTAACCTTAAGTTTCATTTCGTTGTCCAAAGT